GCTATTTCATGTGTACTTTCTGAGTTTGATTGTATTTTTTTTTATGAATTAAGTGTATTGCTTAGTGGCTTTGTATTTATATTCGAACTATAATTATCTTTTATTTGCTAATTTTTTAAAAAGAAAAAAAAATTCATTTTATATTTTTTTGGATGGCGAACAATCTCTAATAACATGGATGGTACTCTCACTATTCACAGGACACCAGATGAGAGTATTATTCATGTGATACTAAAGGTGCAGGTCATCTTGTATGAGATGGTGATGTTTCATTTCTTCATTTTTTTCGTATGCCTTCCTAATGGATCTTTTGAAAGGTTATTTGGTTTCAAATTCTTTTATTTTATTTTTTTTTTGACTTTTAGTGAAAATGTGCATACTTCAAGATTCATTTTCGTACAACAAGGATAAATACATTCTAAAAGTGATCTTAGCATTGTAGTAGAGTGAGTTGCTATTAATTTTTTTTTTTCTTATATTGTTTTAGTTGAGTAATTATTATGAGTTGTTTAAATTTCAATTTTACGAAATAAAAATGAGAATACAAAACAAACATAATAATTATAATAGTTATAAGTGTTAAAGAAGAAAAAATTCAGGGTACTTAAAGACAAAGTAAATTAATATGTTAAAGTAGAAGAAAATTATTGTATTAAAGAGAAGTAAATTAAGATGCTAAAAGAGAAAAAAATGATAATATTAAAGAGAAAGATAATAAGGGTGCTAAAAGAGAAAATAGACCAGTATATTAGAAAGAAAAAATAAATCAAATTAAATTAAATAATAAAATTATATAATTTATAATTACTTATTTATTTTTTGTCCTAAAAAATCTATATATATAAAACTGTAACATTACATAAAAAAATACATCAATCAAAACCATTTTTAACACTAAGTAAATTTGGTTTCTAATTCTAAGTTATAATTCTTTTTTTTTTTTTTCATTTTATGTTTGATTAAAAGGCATATATATATATATTATCTCTCTCTCTCTCTCTCTCTCTCTCTCTCTGTCTAACCTGAGATTAGATCATTCTAAAAACAAATTTCTCCACTTTAGCACTTGAATCCTACTTGCGTCCGGAAATTAAACTAATTGATGGTCAAAAGCAGAAGAGTATTGACTATCATCCTCCACCCTCTCTACATCCAAATATATATATATATATATACATACACATTTATATAAAATCCTCATTACCTTCACGTTCTCCTCCACGTCCACTTCAATTTCCCTCCACTTCCCATCCCCACTACCTTCACACCTTCTTTTAACTGCTCCTGCTCTCCCACTCATCCTTCTTCAACCTTCAATTTTTCCCAGAAAAAAAAAAAAAAAAAGTACAACTTTCTTGTGCTTATCATAATCAACCCTGTTATTGATATATATATATATTTCACAACCACTACTATTCTTTTCTAATCATGAGCAACATGGAGGACTGGCCTGAGCCAGTGGTTCGTGTTCAATCTTTGTCCGACAGCGGCCTCTCATGCATTCCCCCTCGCTATGTCAAACCTTTGTCAGATAGGCCAACGTTCGAGAATACTTCCTCTAATTACGACAACGCCAATATCCCAATTATTGACCTCTCCGGCTTGTTTGAGAACAAAAATGGAGATTTAATAGTTACGAGTAGTAATAATAGTAGTAATAGTAATACGTTTAGTCAGATTTCGGTGGCATGTCGTGAATGGGGATTTTTCCAGGTGGTCAACCATGGTGTAAGCCATGAATTAATGGACGGAGCTCGAGAAGCATGGCGGGAATTCTTCCATTTGCCGATGGAGAAGAAACAGAAGTATGCTAATAAGCCAAGAACTTATGAAGGATATGGTAGCAGGCTGGGGATCGAGAAAGGTGCGATTCTTGATTGGAGTGATTATTATTATCTTCACTATCTTCCTTTGTGCTTGAAAGACTTCAACAAATGGCCTGCTTCACCTCCTTTTTCCAGGTAATTAATTAATTAATTAATTAATTACTCAATTAATCACGTTTTTTTTTATTCGGTTCAGTTAATCTAGTACTTGAATTTTGAACTTATTTTATGTTTTTAATCATTTTTTATTAAAAAATTTAATTTTTACGTAAACCTGACACATTACTTAAAATTTACCATACAGTAAATTGGGTTTTCGTTTGTGGGTAATTTATAATTGCGACGTACATAAAGTATATCAAAAAATACAGTTTAGACTTCCAGTTTAAAGATTGTAATTGCCAGATTGGCGGTGTTATTTATTTATGTATTTATTATTATATTTAACCGGACATAATTGGTCATATATTTGATGAAAATATATATATATATATATATATATATATATATATATATATATATATAAAACATTCACGTGTGAGGCGATGAAAATCATGGGAAATTTATTCATCCCATGAATTTTTTGGGAGAGTGGATTCGAAAGAGAAATTAGTTGTCCTTTTCTTCAATTAAAATATTTTAGCAAAAAAATGTACAGATGCTTATATAATATTACGGATAATAATGAGTTAAATGAAAAATACTGGATATGATTAAATAAAGTATTTTTCAATTTTTTTTCTTTCAAAAATGAAACTGGATAAACATGAAGTATATATATATATGAATTTACCCTGTTACCCTTTAATTTGGATTACATTGCTAATATATATTATTCCTTTGGATTTAATTAGAAATTACTTAAACATCTCTCATCAATTTGCTTATATATATATATATATATTTAATTTTGATGTCTTTTGGACACTATTCATTAATCATGCAATGTAAGTAATTACGTCAAGTTTTTGTCATTAGTTATATATGGTTTTACTATATTATAAATGTTTTCTTCGAAATCTCTCTCTCTCTCTTATATATATATAAGTATATCATCCTAATTGACCCTTAAAAAAATTTAGATATAATGTCTCATAAATCAATATTCAAAACTTTCAAAATTTATTTTGAAATTTAAGTAAAAAGTAAAATAATATTTAAAAAAAATTCAAGCTCGTATTACATTCAAGTAATATTTTATTTAATATAATTGCATTAATTAGTACTTCTCAATATGTGATTTAGGTATTAAGCAATGCAATTTACAGGAGTGTAGAGCATAGAGTGATGGTAAACTCAGCACAAGATCGTGTCTCTCTTGCCTTCTTCTACAATCCTAAGAGTGATATTCCTATCGAGCCAATAAAAGAACTTGTTACAGAAGATAGACCTGCACTATATACAACTATGACATTCGATGAGTACAGACTTTTCATTAGAATGAGGGGTCCTCGTGGTAAATCTCAAGTGGAATCTTTAAAATCCCCACGATGAGATATTTAATTTTATTATAATTTAATTAATGCAATTCAGAAAATTATTCAAAACAATATAATTTAAAATACTATATAATTATTATTTCTTCAATTGTCAACCATATTATTATTATTATTATTGTACGTAGTTAAAATACTACTCCATATGTAATTTATAATTGATTTGATTTTATTAAATTGTACATGATATGTAATTGCTATAAAGAACATAGTGAAAGATATAGCAAAAAAATGAAAAATTATTTCCTTCTTATCTCTTAGTTTTATTTATTGGGATACTAATGATTACAATATATATATTAATTTAAACATATTTAAAGTAATTACAGTCTAATATATCTCAGGTTTTATATTTTTTTTGAGAGAAAAATAAATCCATCAAGTCAAATAAGATGAACCGCATCTCTTGCTAACTGTTTATCCTCTAGTACGAGGGTGAATGAATTTTTCTAAAATTAGTAAACAACACCAGTCCATCGACATCACGAGACATACCAAACTTGGTCATCCAACATCCCAATAGAGATATCACAATTCGATTTTATACATACATGGTAGTGACGGACAATTATATTCTAAGTTGATTTTTGTAATATCCGGACTCAAAAATTAGTATGAGATTAATTTTGACAATTTAAAAATAAATAAAATATTATTTATAAATTAATTTAATTTAATTTTGTTAAATTATTAAAAAAAATATGTTAGGGATGTAATTGAAAATAATTCTGAAAAAAATAGAAAAAAATTTGAGTTCAAATAGTACTTTTGAAAGAAAAAATAGAAACAGATGGTTAAAGTGCAAAAAGAGAAAATTTGTCTGCGTAGAACGGTCCAGTTAGCATCCCCAACGAAACGGAGTACTTCGCGTGGTAAGACACGATGATGTTAGCACTACGTAGGAGGCCAAGCGGGCAATCTGCGTGCCCAGTGATCGGACCGCCCAGTATTGATCCTGTATGCGTGGCTGCTCAGATTCGTTCCCTACTTAAGAGTGATCGAATGAACGAGATTAACCACAATGAACAGTGCATATTCATTTTCTCCTTATGCGCAATCGGACAGACGAGATCAATCGTGATGAACGACCTACATCGACATAAGATTGGTATAAATAATTCACATCGCATGGGAATTCAAACCCTAACTGGCAGCCCCCCATCGGAGAAGAAGAACCAGACGTCGGAGAAGGAGGCCGAACACCGACCGCCACCGGATCGGAGCCACTGTTGGCCACCAAAAAAGGTAAAAATTTCTCATATTGGTTCGGAATTTGATTTCGAGTATCTTTGTGACCCAATCGGAGCAAGAGAGATAATGGATGGGACAGAAATCACGAGTAAAGCTTGATGGAGCCGTCACAGCCAAAACCCAAAAAATCTCTCCAATGAGCCCTTTCTGCAAAAGAGGACTGGTGGAGCCACCGTATCCGGAGGTCCCCCTTCCCGTAGATTTGATTTTTGTGATTTTTCAGTTAACTGAGGTCCCGTAACTTTTTTTTTACAAGGATACGTGCAAAACAGGCCAAAATTAGTCAAAATTGGCTAGGCCGAGGTGAACCGCCGCTGTAGGCGACAAAGCCTGTGCCAGAGTATGGCAACGCTGCCATGCTGGAACCCTAAAATTGCCCAGAAAGAATTTTGAACATCGATTTTGGATTTTGGAAAATTTTTAAGTATGTGACGAGCATTTTGGATTTCTACAGGAAAAATTCAGAAAATCTGGTATCCGTTGAGAGACATAGTAGACATCGCAACATCTCAAAACACCAATCTGGATAAGGATCCCTCACCCTGTTCTCCATTACGGTAAATTGAGACTCAATGATTTATAATTTCATATTTTTATGAAAAATTAGAGAATCTTAAAAATAATTACAGGTCACTAGTAGAGTTGGAACCAGTTAGTTCACAATTTTTTGAAATTTCTGTTTATTTTCCTATACTGCCTTATTTACTTGTTATTATATGGTGCACGTTCTTAAATTATACTAGTTCACTACCCAGACTCTCTTCAAATGTTAGTGAAGGTTGTTCTAGGAGGTTTGTTTATTCGTTCTTCTTTTTATTTTCTTACTTACCATTTGTCTTTTAGTAGGGATATTTCTGTAGTTCTATTGGGCAATCTAAATTATTATGTAAGGAATGTAAACCTTAACTCTATTAATCGCTTCCGCATTTAAATTATAAATTCATTTCTTTTAAGATTCTGGGTCTTTACAGTTGGTATCATAGCCGCATTCTTCAGAACTATTCCTTACATAAACACTTAAAAACACTAAAAAAAAACAAACTATCATCCAAATCTTCCTTGTGAAATACAGGTACAAGAATATGAGAAGAGGAAGACCCCCATTAAATCGAGCAGCTATGGATGGTTCACTTCGAGAGGATGTTGACCGACTCTTTGAGATATTGGAGAAACTTATCTCAGCCCAGCAAGCCCGAGAGGAAAGGAAGAAGTTGTCTGACCTTCCCCCACTACCACAGTTTGAGCCACCCTTACAGCAAAAAGATTTAGAGCCACCCCAGTATAACCCTGATCTTCCACCGTATCATCCGGTACCACCACATAACAATATGGTGCCTCCATCGTATCATCCGGCAGCACCACAAAGTAACCCGGTCCTTTTTCAGCACAATTTAGTCTCTTTTTCACTGGATCTAATTCCACCCATGATGGACCCTACCTACATTAAAAAGTGTAAAAGACTAAACTAATCTACCTTTGCAGGGGTATCATCTTTTAAAGAGGTCAATTATTGGTTAGTTGAAGTAGAGAAGGTCTTCGCCACTCTTGGGGTGATTCTCGAACAAAAAGTTGTACTTGCTACCTACATGCTTATGGGAGAGGCAGGTCGCTGGTGGCAGTTAAAGTAGGCCACCCTGCCCATTTCAGTCACTTGGGAACAAATTCCTGATGTCCTTCAATACAGAGTATCTCTCAGAGCACCTCCAACATTTGAAAAAAATAGAGTTTGCACACCTAGTATAGGGTGATATGACTATATCGGAGTATGCTCAAAAGTTCTTAGAGTTAGACTGGTATTCCCATGAAAACATGATGGATAAAGGCAGAAAGACAAGAAAGTTTGAGTGGGGCATCCGTCTTGAGATTAGACAGCAGCTGTACGTATTTGAGCTCAGTACCTACTCAGTCGTTCTGACTAAGGCAAAAGTGCCATACATATCGAAAGTACTAAAATGTATTAAAGTATGCTACTATGATTTTAGTAGAGCGGGATAAAATGAGAAGTAGCCGACTTTGTTTTTAAATGTATAATATGTCAACAGGTTAAGCCAGAACATCAACACTCAAGCAGACTACTTCTGCCATTACTGATCCCGGAGTGGAAGTAGGAATATATCACAATTGATTTTGTGAGAGGGTTCCCTAAGGCACGCTCAGGACATGATACCATTTGAGTAATTATTGCCTGCTCACCAAGTCTTTTTACTTTTTAGCTATCAAGATGACTAACTCTTTGGACAAGGTAATAAGAATATATATCCGGGAGATAGTCAAGTTACATAAAAATTCAGTGTCAGTAGTATCCGACAGAGAACCCAATTTTACTTCTCAATTTTATTTTTGTTTTAAGTAAGCTATGAGAATGAAAATATTCCTTAGTATTGCATTTCACTCTCAAACTGATGGACAATCGGAGAGAA